TTGAGGTTCCAAGTTAACCGTACCGTTACCAAAACGTGACGTGTAAACTCTGCCGATCACGGATTGGCCGGAGAGAATTGTCACTACCTGCGTCACTGAACTTGCGACACAAACACAACAGAACCGCTAGATTAAGATCAGCACAGCCAGTGAAGTATCGAACGCAACGGTTTTGAACAAGCGCACTTTTTTAACAACCAAAAAGTGGCTGTTTCGTTGTCTGTTAAGGAAGTACAGACGTTCCTCTCGTTGATAGCAGAGTAGCAGATCCAGCGAAAGCTTGATGGGGCGACGCGGAATGAAAAAGTTTTTCAGGATTCGCGGCAGTAGAGGCGGCGCAACTATAACGACATGTGAATAATCCCGCCCACTCTAAAGCGGTACTGAACTGCAGTGGAAACGCAAACCGAGCCGAGCCGTACCACGCAGTGGAAAAGCGCCATAAGTGTGTGACTGTAGTACACACAGCGCTGTGGCTTTAACACCGAGCTTTACCCCCTTCTGTCTGCTCTAAAGCTGCTGACCATTAATTAAAACCTCTTAAAACACAAGGCTCTCGCACCGGCTGTACCGAAGCTTATTATTAGATGAAATGGCAGGACCTCTGAAAGAGCAAAGCCACATTCTGGACTGAAAGATCCAAAAATATTTTACATATATTTGTTTTGAGTTGAGTAAGGCAGTTGTAAGTAATAAGTACTATGCTTCTTTCTCGTTGAATAAAAGCATCTGCAGACATCTTAAGGACAGCAGTGTTTGGGTTGTATACAGGAAGTAGTGATGATTCAAAAGAGTCAGTAGAGAGTGGAACAACCACCTCTGAACGTGTTAGGTGAGTCTTTGACACCGGCTGTCACACTACTACCTAAAGCCACTTTGACACCTCAACGCCAGCGGTTCTGCTTCATATTACAAAGCATACACGACCCACAAGCAATTCACAAGTTTCACAATGTGAATGTGTCAGCAGCTAACACCTCTAACGCATTAAAAAACAGACCTATTTTGGACTTTGTTTATATCTGCACACTAAAAAGAACCCTTTATATCTGCCCGACTAGATATGAAAGTATGTAGTACTGCAACAACTAAAGGCTGGAATACACTATACGACTTCTTCACAGATTTTTGCCTGGATTTACAGTTTTGACAAGTTGATGCTAGTTGCCAAAAGTAAGAGCCGGTCTGTATATTGTTGTATACGAGTTGACAGATTTAATAGAAAAAAAAATCATGTAGTGTATGATGGTCACAGAGTCTGATTTTATAGCTTCAGACTATGAAGCCATCCAGTTGCCTCCAAACATGCTTGATATTTTGAGTGATTTTAAAATACCTTATTTTCATTCACTCAGCGGGTGTATGACGACTATGTCTTAAAATATGTTCAGTTTTAAATGTTGTGTAGTGTATTCCAGCCTTAAAGGGTTATTCACCCAAAAATGAAAATTCTGTCATTAATTACTCACCCTCGTGTCGTTCCAAACCCGTAAGACCTTCGTTCATCTTCAGAACACAAATTAAGATATTTTTGATGCATTCCGAGAGTTCTCTGACCCTCCCATAGACAGAAATGTAATTACCATGATCAAGGTCCAGAAACGTAGCAAGGAAATCGGTAAAATAGTCCATGTGACATCAGGGGTTCAATCGTAATTTTACAAAGCTACGAGAATACTTTTTGTACTCAAAGAAAACAGAAATAACGACTTTATTAACCAATTCTTCTCCTCCGCGTCACCCTAGCGCCTATTTTAGAGTATCCACTGAACGTAAACAGCGTATGCTGTTCTGTGTCAGCTGTGCCACACGGATAATGGTCGACCGATATGGGTTTTTTGACAGCCGATGCCGATGCTGATATCTTGGAAAGCAGGGTGGCCGATGGCCAATATAAAGCCGATATAATTTTATTTATTTGAATTAATATTTAAGAAATCTGAAATCATTTGAAAATGGATTAAATATAATAGTGTAAAATAAACATATATACTTTAGAAGACAAAGCATTTTTCACAAATAAATATTTAATAAAAATCTAACTG